CCATCGGAGTAGCAGCTCCGGTACCAGACCTACATTATCACATGAATAGTCCTCCGGCGACTCAACGTCCCGGTAGTCATAACGGATTCAACTCCGACGTTCACGATCGATATGTCCTTAACGGTTTGTATATTCCCTTCGGACTTATTCTACCTCCAATTATCAGCTTCGTAACCATATGCTCCGTCCTTACGATTGACAGTTCCACATGGTTCATAGTTCCGATAACTCCTTATTCCACATGGTTCATAGTTCCGATAACTCCCTATCGATACGAGCTCCGAACCGTGCCTCCGCGTATATAAACTCCTAGCTCCTGTACTCTAACTCCTTAGTTCGAATATCGACTAAGTTACTCTTCTGCTCCGACACGGACTTAGAGCGCGTAGCGACTCAAGTCTTAAAGCTTGAGTCTGGTCCGTACTCGCACTCACTCTCTGTATCCCGAAACTCTGCTCCGACATTCTCCGACTCACTCCGACCTTCTTCTGACCCGACTCCGACAATCATCTCGCTAGGTCCGGACGTCACACCTCTGGCGTCGGACTTAGCTCCGTCTTGATCTTGACATTCTCCTGAAGTTTTCGCTTCTGTAGTTTCGCTCGGACCTTCAGTTGCTTTGTCTGCTCCTGCGTCATCATGAGACGGAGGCGCTCCTGTGTCGTTTGCTCCTCTGATTTGACGATGTCAGCCAGTTTGTCTGTGACACGAAACTTCTTGGCCTCCTTCTTCGGAGCCGAAGGCGTAGACACTGCAGCACCAGCTGCAGTCTTCTTCTTCTCGGTAACAGTTGGAGGATTGGCGGACTTCACGTTGTTGTCATCCGAGTCCAGCTCGTCGCTGGAGATAGACAACCTCCGCTTGGCGACTGCAGTAAGCCCACCAGCAGCCCCATCTTCGTCGTCCAAGCCATCTGCATCTTCAAAAGCGGAGGATGATTCTTCCGCAGTACTAGATACACCCAAGATTGTAAGATCCAGATTGGTGCCGCTATCGCCAAGGCCGGATGGAACGAGGTTTGGTCTAGACATGACGAGGCCCTTCATCTCGAAGTACCAAGGCACGTTTTGCTTAACTTGTTCTATGCCGATGCTTAAGTAGTGTTTCTAAGAGATGAGTTGATGTTACTCTTACGCCAGACGTTCCATAAAGGTGTGTCTTCGGTGATCTCATCGGCGCTAGTCAAGCCCATCCCAGTCTCGCCCATGATCTTGTTGGTCTGGATCACAGTCTGAGACATGCTATGAAAGATATGAGGATGAGATTGAACAAGGAGACGAAACACATCACTTACGTGCGAAGCCGATTCTTTATCCCGGTAACCCAACGATCACGAGCTTTGGCCGTCTTTCCAGCCTTGGCTTTGGTGATCTTGTCGGAATACTCAGGGTGCTCGCCGAATACGATCTGAGCGAGTGCCCAGTAGTGCTCTGTCTTCGGGGTGCCACCCCCTTTCTGCGACGAAGGGTTTGCTCCGGGTCCGGGGAATAGACCCTTCCGGATCCTTTCATTCTCAAGGATCGCGGCAACCAAAGGCTTGTGGAATGGCTCCCAACTGATAGAAGCAGACAAATAAGTAGTCGGGTCTAGTTTCTTACGGTATTACTGTTTCGGCTCACTCTTGGACGAGTCTGTCCCTTTTGGGCTTCGAGTCCTCATCCTCAGCTGGACTTGGAGGATTATCGATTGGCTTTGACTTTGCCTTAGTCATCCTATGTAAAGGTTTGTTGTGCTGAACAGAGGAAGGGTGAGGAGGCGGGTGAAGGCAGAGCGAGGCAGAAGGCAGAGCGAGGCAAAAGCCTCCATACAATTCAGCTATCTAATTCCCACAGTAAGCAACGAAATGTAATGGATCACAACACGGAATGGATTCGAACGCGACATCGACTGCAAGTGCGAGTCCAGAGCCGGTTTTGCAGAACACCCGATTTCGCGAAATCGAGTCAAATCGAGTCATCAAACCGGGTCACTAAACCGAGTGTAGAACCGGGTGAAATCGCCCACTCTGACTTCCCCTAATACTCCAAAATAGGGCGGGAGTCCCTGTTCCGATCTTGTTGACGATTTTAGCCTTTGCCTTCAGTGACAGCGGTGATAAACGGGGGCAGAGTTTGGACATCGCCACATGTTACGAAACATCACGTTCGAATCACGATTCAATCACGTTTTGGCGGCAGTCACAGTGTGGTCACGGAGAGTCACAATCTTCCAGGAGCTCGCCGAATCCCACCTGTTAACCAACTCCAACCTCCGCAAGCTCCGGGGGAGTCGGAAAGATACTTGCCGATATCAAACAACGCTTGCACTATCCGATCGAAGGTCGTTGTTTTCCAGGTCATCTCCTTCTGCTGATAACGACGGTTCCCATAGGCTCTCATGCCAGATGCGGTGTTCACAAGAATCATTAGCTGGCCAGATGGGCCAACGGCGAGACGCTTGGCTGCCACAGCAATCGCATAATTGAAGCGTTTTCCGCCCCACGACACGGCCTGGCCCACCGTTCGGCCTGGCCCCGTCAGGTTCGACGCGGTATCGGCATCACTGATACTGGCGAGGTCGTACTCGCACCCGTAAGTGTCGCATAGCAAGGTCTCCCTGTTTATAGAGGATGTGGGAATCGATGGACTAGCGGCGGGTCGCTCGGCCGCCGCAGCGATGGCATGACCAAGGTGTTTTCCGCCCCAGGACACGGCCTGGCCCATCGTTCGACCGAGCCCTGTCAGATTTGATGCGGTCTCAACGTCGCTGACGCTGGACAGATCGTACTCGCGCCCGTAGGTGTCATATAACAAGTTTCCCGTCGTGGGTGAGTGTATAGTGCGATAAAGCATCGTTTGTTACGAGGAGACGGCGAGCAACGACAAGAAACGAATCGGAGGCGAAAAGACGAAGGGGTAGGACAGCGCCAAGGGAATGTCCATTGTCGACCTTCCGGTATTTATGGAGCTCTGCGAATGAGGCTGTCCTTGTATGACGAGTATAGCACACCAGAATCACCGAGTGCTGATGAACTTCTGGGACACGGCACACAGAGACCACAGGCGGCCAAGTAGGGGGTGTTGGGTGCATCTGTAGGGTGGGTGATCGCAATCGAATGCAACATCGGTGTCTGCATCGCTCGTCGGGATCCAGGGGCGGGGGCTAGGTCAGGGCTGCGGCCCTGGAGCATAGCCCGGCTATGAGCAGCCTGCGTTTCTGATAGAACCGGATCTGCTGTGCGGTGCCGTTGGGGTTTTTGCGGTAACAAGCTGTAATGCATAAGTGAAGTGCAGGAGCATAATCCCGCGTGTATATCCGCATGTCGGACTATAAATGACATTATTACTCTATTCTACCGTATGATATGATGCATATCCGACCTCCCTTTCGGCTCGATCGCCAATGTCAGCGCAAACCCCGGCACGATAACGGGCTCGGGGTAGGGGTTTTGCAGGATCCGAAAAAGGCGATTCCCCACTTCTCGACAAAAGACGGCACCTTGCACTCCGGCTTCCGGCTTCGCCCGCGGGTTTTTTTTTTTTTTTTTTTTTTTTTTTTTGGCAGGAGGAATGTGGTTTTACGCGTTCTATTATGGTGCGAGCGAGCAGAAGAGAGGCGTATCTGACGACAACAGCAAGGACGAATATACCCGAGGGCTTGAACGCGAGAAGCAGCGAGAGAGAGAGAGAGATGCGGGAGAGAGAAAGGAATAAGATGCGGTGGAGCGAGAAACGTAGTGCGCGTGGATGTTGGTCGTACAGGGCGGGTCGTGGCAAGTTCGTGGGCGGGGTCGTGAGCAGTGGAAAAAGGGGAAGATTAATAAGGATAATAGGAGATCTTCGCGGCGGGGGGCCGGGCGCCATTAGGGATGTGGGGGGTGTACGCGTAAAGGTGATGTCAAGGTCCAGAGTTTTACGAGCTGGCGACGACGCTTTCGCTTTGGCCCCGCGAGCGGCCGGCGAGGTCGGTGCTCGTGCTCGAGGATGCGCCGGCGCGTTTGGACGGGAGGGAGGAGTCATCTTGCGTGCGGAAGAAGGTGTCTTCGCCTTCGTAGGGTGAGGAGTCCGAGTTGACCTGCCCCCACCTTGTGAGCGTGTGCGCGAACAGGAGAGGGAGAGGGAAGAGGGGGGAAGGGGGGGGGGGGGGGAGGACGTTACCCGA